TTTTTTTTTTCTTTTTTTCTTTTTTCTTTTTTTTTTTTTTTGGTTTTTCGAGACAGGGATTCTCTGTACTGTTTTGGTACCTGTCCTGGATCTCACTCTGTAGAGCAGGCTGGTCTCAAACTCACAGAGATCCACCAGGCTCTGCCTCCCGACTGCTGGGATTAAAGGCGTGCACCACACCACCTCCTGCAGCCAGTGTTCTTAACCACTGTCTTACTGTGTAGACCTGTCTGGCCTGGAACTCTTTATGTAAATAAGACTGTCCTCAAACTCTGTCAAAGATCTGTCTGCATGGGATTAAAGGTGGTGTCACCATGCCCAACCACAAACCTCCTTTACTCAGAATATACCATTCTGATTCCTTTCTCCCTTGGTCCTTGTTCTTTCAATTCTCTCTGGTTTCCAATGCCCTAATATCCTATTTATCATTGAGCCAAAGGTTAAAAAAAAAAAAAAAGTGTAGTGGGGATTGTCCATGTAAATACAATCCCATCCTCCACCTGCAAGCCGTAAATGGGCGGCAGATTCCCTGGAGCTGAGAGCTGGGAACCGAACTCAGATCTTCCACAAGAAAGTATGAGCTCCTAATTATTGAGCCATTTTTCCAGTTCCCAGAAATTAAAAAACAAAACAAAATATTTATTTATTGGGTATGTATGCGTGTGACCCGGTGCACACCCTGGGGATATAATTCTGGAGACCTTGACTTTCTAGTTAATCTCTGGTTACAGCTGGTTAGCTCTAGCGGCGAACTCTCTGTGAGGTTGTTGGAATGACCCAAGCGAACTACAGCAGCTGTGGATATCCCGCAGGACCTAATGGGGGCGCTAGGAATCCGGATTCGGGCAGGACTCTTCAGCAAGGCCCTTGCTAAGGGCTAGAGAGACATAGCACCCCCTACAGCGAGTGCGGATTAGAGGCTGGCGAGATCACGTGGTCTCCTCCTACCAATCGCAAAGTAACACTCGCTTCCTCCGTTCCCCATGGAAACAACTCCGCCCCCAATGACCCTCCCGCCCCTTCAGTGGTGAGGTTTTGGCCTTTCATTGAATATTCCGGGTGACAATCAAATACCCGCTCTTTCTGGCTGGACAGTTCGCTTCCGTAACACGAGCGACTACGCTGACTGGTCAGTGAGCGATGCCTGTCTTAGCCTTACCCAATGTTGCTTTCCTGGGGCGGGGCCGAGTGAAGACTCGGAGCCAATCAGCGGTGACGCCGCTTGTGCGCCTCCACGTCGGCAGCAGCTGCGGTCAAGATGGAGGCACTGATCTTGGTAGGAGCTGGAGGGCCGGTGGCGCCGCGGTGGTGTCCGGAGGGTCCGGGAGGCGGGGTTTAGCAGCTGGGGCCGGGAGAGGGGAGTTCAGGCAGGTCTCGGGGGCCGAAGCTCCCGCTGTCCGAGGAGTGCGAGTGTGGCCTACACGGGACCTAGAGCTGCGGTTCTGAGTAGGAAGCCTTTCCGGGCAGAGAGCAGCGTCGGTGGCACAGTTGAAGACGCGTGCAGGGTCCTTAGGACAGTTCTGAATGTGCTGGCTGGGGGTCCTTCAGGTTCCCCCGGATGGTTAGCATGGTGGAGCACACCTGCTTGAATTTCCCCACACCATCTTACTCCCCCCAAGTTGCAACAACAGAATAGACGTGTTTTGTCACCCTCAGATACTCCTTGTGGTGGTCAGAATTCGATTATCCATTGGTAATTCTATGTCACGTTCTTCATGTTTTCGATTTCTTGTTAATTCTTAGCATATAATTCTGTCATGATTGAGAATCAGCACTCCGTCCAAGTTCAGGAACACCTAGTAGAGCTAGTATAGATTCTGGAATATTTCCCCTGACTCCTTATTCCGCCCTCCTTTCTCCTCTTCCTTCAGACTTTAGGAACTAATACTGTAGGGTCCGTTGTCAGACTTCTTCCTCTGGTTACAGGAGAATTATAGTGGCTACAGGAGTGCATTATCTCTCTTGTCCGTTGATCCTTTCGGCTTGTTCAAACAAAACACTACCACTTTAGAACAGGACCAGGGCATTGTTTTCCAGTGCACTGGTGGGCAGTTTGGAGATGTGTGAGTCTGCCTGTCTGTCTGTGTGTTAGTGTATTAATTTAACTTCCAACTTCTTTCCTTGGGTTGGATTCCAGGGTTGTTTTCAGAGTCTTCCTTGGCTTCTGTTTTCCTTTAGATTCCTTATATACATGTCAAACCCTGTCAGTAAAAGAGAAACAAGTTTACCTTCTCTCTTTTTTAAAAGATAAAAAAAGTATATATATTTTTTTTTTTCTCTTCTTTTTTCTGTTTTTTGAGATAGGGTCTCCCTCCCTCTCTCCCCGAGCCCCAGCTATCCTGGAACTTACTATGTAGACCAGGTTGGCCTCAAATTCAGAGATTTGCTTACCTCTACCTCACAAGGTCTGGGATTAAAAAGTATGTGCCACCACGACAACTTGTTTTAGTTTTTTGAGTGAGGGTTTGTAGGTCATACTGGAATCAACTTTTCCACATAGCCAAGGCAGACCACCATGCCTACCTGGCATTTATGTGGGGATTTGAACTCTGATTTTCATATTTGTATGGCAAACACTTGAACTACTGACCCATCTGTCTATACCTTCTTACTTCCCTTCTTTCAAATGTCAGAGAATTTATTCTCATATGAGTTGGGCAAGTTGGAGCAAAATGCTCACTATCTTTGGGTAGTTTCAAGTACTTACTGTACAAGTCAGTTAACAAATTTTTCAAATCTGATAACATATGTGGATAAAGTCTGTGGAATTGGTTTCCTTGGACATTTTTAATGTTTTTAGTCAGGTGTGGTCGCTCACACCTATAACCCCAGCTCTCAGGAGGCTGATGGCATATTGCTGCTAGTTTGAGGCCAGCCTGGGCTACAGAGTAAGATCTTGTCTCGTAAAACAAAAATTAGCCGGATGGTGGTGGCGAGTGCATGACTTTAATGCCAGCACTCTGGAGGCAGAGTTCGAGGCTAGCCTGGTCTAGAGTGAGTTCCGGAGTAGCCAGGACTGTTACATATAGAAACCCTGTTTCGAAAAACAAAACAAACAACACCCAAAATTATTTAGTGGAACCAGCTTAAAGAATCAGGAAGGTGCCAGGCAGTGGTGGTGCATGCCTTTAATCTCAGCGCTCAGGAGGCAAGAGGCAGAGTTCAAGGCTGGTTGGTTCTGTTGGCCTGGGTGTAGTGCAATGGTAAGAGCACATGGTCTAGCTGGCTTTAAAGGCCCTATACTTGGCCCCTAGCACTGGGAGGATTGAAGTCATGCAGGATAATCTCTGTCATTTCTCTTCCTCCTCTGTCCCTCCTGTACTGTATGATCTCTCTTAGCCTGCTTCTTCCTCTTTCTTCCACTTTCAGCTGAACTGACCTGCTGCATGCAGGAACAGATCCTTGCTAACTAACTTGCTTGGACACCCTTGACCTTTACTTTTAAAACTACACTGAGTCTTTGCCACTGGCGTTCTTTTCAGTGAAGCACAGTAGGTACCAAAACTCCATTCCATTTTGGTTTCTTTGTTCCCAGAACAAAGCTCTGTTTTTTGAGACAGTCTGATTATGTAGGTAGGGCTGGGCTTGAATATGTAATCTAGCCTCCCCAAGCTTCTCTCTGATGTTTCTGTAGGTTCTTACACTTCTTCAGTGTACAGAATTTCCCTTCAGTGATCAGTTGTATAAAGTTTTTGTTGAAGATAAAATACGTACAGGTAGCTGGGGTTTGTAGCTCCTGACTTTATTACCAGCACTTGGGAGGCAGAGGCAAGTAGATCTCTGTGAGTTCAAGACCAGCCTGGTCTACACAAAGAAACCCTGTCTTAAAAAACCAAAAAGAAAGACAAACAAACAAAAACCCTAAAATCTCTTGTGTGTGTGTGTGTGTGTGTGTGTGTGTGTATACGTACGTACGTACATGTGTACACATATATACACCTTCTTCTGACCTTGGGCTTCAGGCATGCAGGTGATACACACATAAGCAGGCAAAAACAGCCATACACATAAAATAAATCTTGAAAAAAAAAAAAAAAAGCATTCCAGCCTTAGCTGGTAATCGGATTTGTGTGATCTTCCGTCAGTCCTCTGTCTGTGGGTTTCCAGCCTGGCCTGGCCTTGGCCTCCTCTTCTGCTGCCTCTCCTTTTCTCAGTTGTTAGTGGAGAAGGGTCTACGGGTGGCCATTCTCCATTTGTAATCTGGAATCTTAATAACTTATGCTTTCCTTTGGCCTTTGCTTTTTTTCACCCTCAAAGCTGAATTACCATAGCAGTTCAGATCCTTAAAACCTTTGTATGTAGGTTTTTTTTTTCTCTTCCTATTTCCAGGTTTTAATTAAGACACTACTTTTCCAATGTCTTACAGGTTAGACTTCAGTTCTATCCATTGTCTCCCCTTAATATTTTATCCTAAAACTGACAAAATTCTGATTTCCATGTCTCATTCAAATATCAGGCCATCTAAAGTGCACTAGAATGTACGTGTATCTGGAGGAGGAAGCTGTGGGACACATCAGTGACTCAAAGGTTGATATTGTCTCAGTGGCCTTTGCTTCCTGAATCATCTTAATGGGCTTTTGTTAAATTCCTTTGGCACTAACAGTAGAGGTACTTGGCCTAAATGCCCCCTCCCCCTGCTTTGGGCAAAGGTATCAATTACATTAAGCCCCCAAAGCACTCCCATCTCGTTCCTGGCAGTCCCCTGTGCCCCTCTCCCAGCTGTGTCCTCGCTGGTGCCTGGCCCCTCCATTTCGTTAGGAGAAGCAATCTTCTCGTTCCTGCACTGTGGAGATATATTTCTCAGCCAGGGCTTGAGCAGTGCCAGCACTGCCCCCGGTGAGGTCCCTGGCAGCCATAAAAATTTTTATTGTGATTATGTTGGTGTCGGGGTGTCCATCTGGGTTATTGCACACCTAGTTTAATTGATTGAAGTTTAATTTATTGACACTTCAAATTAAATGATCAGAATAAACTGTGCTGTTACTCTGGCCGGCTTGTTTTAATGGTTGATTGCTGGAAGCAGACCTTGGCTTGAACTAAAACCCCCAAAGAGTAATTGACGCTGCTTCTAACTCTCCCCATGTCTTGCCCTCCAAGAAGACCTCGTTATAGATTTCCGACATATTTATTTATATATTTTTTTCCCTCTCCCTTCACAGTGTTGGGAAAGAGTTGGTCCCTGGCAAGGTATAAATTATATCAAAGGTCTAGGGGAACCATCACATGGTCAGAAGGGGAGGAGGAGGTCTCTACATAAAGAAAACCAGACCCTGGAGAAGCCAGGTCCTCCCTGGGAGGCAGATTGTGAGTGCAGTTGCCTAGCTGTGTGTGGGAGCCTCGAGGCAGGTTAGGCTCTTTCTCATCTTGCTGCTGTTTCTTATTCCAATATTATGACTTGGCTTGACATTGAAGAGTATTGTCAGGAAAAGAGGGGCCAGAGGGGACAGTAAGGGTGGAACAGGTGTCGTCAGTGCTTGTGCAGCCACTTATGCTGGAATAATAGAAGGAACACAGCTGATGAAGATGCCCTGGGAGATGCCAGTGTTGGTGAGGGCCCTCCAAGTTTGTCTCTTGTAGTTTTGGCCAGAGTGGTGTTCTCTCACAGCAGGCTGTTAGGTTTCTTCTGTCCTTAGATTGCCTGGCTTCTGTCACTTTCATTTCTTCAGGAAATCCTTTTGTGTAACTTAATTCGTGTGCTGCAGATAAAAGCTTATCTTGGTGCTAGGGATGTAGCTCAATTGGTAGAGTTAAGCTTACCTAGCATCCTGTAATTGCGCATGG